CTTGGGGTTTATATTTTCCTGTCCCAGTAGTGTTTTCTGTTTCTGTTTCTGTTTCTTTTTCTTTTTCTTTTTTTGCAGAACCGGGGATTGAACTCGGACCCTTGCGCTTGCCAGGCAGTTGTTTATTCTACTGAGACATCTCCCTGGCCCCAGTAGTGTTTTCTTGCTACTTGGTATATCTAACAATTTTTAGTCGATGCTGGACATTTAATTATTGCATGTAGATTGTGTTATCTTCCTTTAAAAAGGCATGGCTTCACTGGCAGATACTGTCTTTAATAGTTTAGCACCAGAACCAGAAAGGATCTTCTGAGAATCTTACTTGAATCCTCTGTGCCACTTTGCTTAGTCATAGTTCGTAACTCTTCAGAGTGTATTGGCTCTGGCAGCCATTGAGCTTAAGGATCCCCAGGTGCTCTTTGTCTAGCACGTGCTTGTCTTTTTTACTCTTGCTAACACTCAAGGCTGTCTCATTCTTCTTGAGAGTTCTGTTGTGCCTTAACTACTCAGTGTTTATCCCTGAGAGTTTCCTTAACTCACAAACCAGCTGCTTAGAATCTCTCTTCATCCTTTGCAGTCTAGAATGTCCCTCTTTCAGGAAAATCAGAGCCATGTTCAAGGCCACTTATTTGTTTATCAGTCTTAACATTGTCTACTATCTATTAGATGGTAAACCTGATTGGTGTTACTTCATCATGACTGGAATGAAAAGCCCTTTTCCATTTTATTTTTTAAATTTCATCATGAAATTGCTAAAATACACAGCAGAATTTAATGTTTGAAAGTGATCATTTGTGGGCTGGAGAGATGGCTCAGTGGTCTAAAGCACCTACTTGAAACAAGCTTGGCAAAGCACAGGGACCGCGGTTCAATCCTCCAGCACCACATGCCAGCCAGCCGCGCCCCCTGGTGGGCTGAGCTGGCCACACGCGCACACACACACACACAATAAATAAATGTAACAAATAAATATTTAAAAAAAATAAAAATAAAGATTAAAAAAAAGAAAGTGATCATTTGTGTAGTGAATACCCACTCTAGCTTCTACCATTGACATTTTATCACATTTGTCCTTCTGTGTGTTTTTCATCTGATTTTTTAAGTATCTTTAAAGATCAGTGGCTAAATGGCCAATGGAGTGTCAGTTCGTACAGCATTATAGAGATCATTCTGGATGTTCCTCAGAAAGCTAAAAGCAACCAAGTTGTGTCATGCACAGGTACAGACTCTCTGTAGTGAGTGTGATCATTATATAGATCTAAAATATACCAATACGATCTAACCCCCCCCCCCCAACCAGGGATTGAACTCAGGCCCGTGCCAGGGAAGCGCTTATAAAATCTAACTTTCTAAGGACTAGGGAGATAGCTCAGCAGCATAAACACCTGCCTGGCAAGCACAAGGTTCCAAGTTCGATCCCTAGTACTGCAAAAAAAAAAGAAAAGAAAGCTAAAAGTCAAATGTGGTAGAATACATCTGTAGTCCAAGAAGTCTGGGAGACTGTGGCAGAAGAATCACAAATTCAAGCCCGGCCTGGGCAGTTTGGCAAGACTCTATACTCTTCCTTTTTCCTAGGCTGACCTTGAATTTATAGTAATCTCCTGCCTCAGCCTCCTGTGTGCTAACTTTGCTGGCACGTGCTACTTCCTTGCCAGACCTGTCTTAAAAATATTTTAAAAGGCCCTGGTATAAATAAAGCTCAGTCAGTGCAAACCATAGAGGGCAGCACATGCTTGTAATTTTAGCAGTTGAGGCAGGAGGATCACCCTGAGTTCAAGGCCAGCCTGAACTGCATAGTGAAACCCTGTCTCAAAAGACAGAACAAACAAAAAACACTGGGTCCGATCCCCTGGTGGGTGGGGGGTGTGTGTGGGTGTGTGTGTTTTGGGTTTTTTTGTTTGTTTTTTTAAGGCTAAAAGTAAGCACTAACATTTGGTCAAGCTGTACCGGTTTTTGACACATTCCTTTAGAAATTGAAGATGGCATACTACGGGGATCAGTACACACCTGCGTTAATTGAGGCACAGTTCGCAGTAGCCAATACATGTGTTATAGTTTGTCTCTAGTTGTCCCCCCGCAAAGCCTCATGCAGGAATTGGGGCATGTGGGACTAGAGATCAAACTCTGGTCCCTGCGCTTGTCAAAGCAGGCCTTAGTTCACTTAGCTATCTCACCTGCCCAGTTCTTTTATTAATGGGTGAGTGAATTTGCGGTTGTGTGACTTATCAAAGGTCACAATTAATAAACCAGAATTCAAAATCAGTCTTCAACAGTAAAATGTTCTACCTTCAAGTTCTCTCCTTAAATATATAACTAGCGGAGTTAAGAGCCAGATGTCATTCTTAGTGATTATTATTATTATTATTATTATTTAATTTTAGAGAAGGGTCTACAGGGGGTTCAGGGTCTCACTACTAGATCGGACTCTAGTGATCCACCTGTTTACAGCCTCCCACCTGTTTACAGCCTCGCAAAGTGCTGGGATTACACCAAGCACACTCCACCACGCCTAGTCTCAATTGCAATCTCAGCATGCCCAGGGGGGTGGGGCTGGCACAGCAGGCCTGGGGATCAAACTCTGGCTCCTGTGCCTGCTTGCAGGTGCTTTAATCTGCTGAGCTATTTGGCCAGCCCCTTCAAGTGATTTTTTTTCTTAAAGTTCAACAGTATCCTGTGTTTTGCTGTTTTATAGGGAAGACATTAGTAACTTGCCTAAAATAACACCACTAGGAGGTAGCTTAGTATTGTCTTTTAGAAGTATTCGAATATATGTGGGAGTTTTGTTTTTTCTTTAACTTTTTTCTTTTTCAGCCTAGCCTTATCACTTACCTACTTTATTGATCTGTTTTTATCATACAAGGAACAGAGGTAGGTATGGGGACAAATTTTAAAAAAACTTCTAAAGAGTTTAAGTTCTTATGTTTGTCTCCTTTTCTATTATTTTCTGTTACATTATTGTTAATTTTTTTGACATCCAAATCTATATTGACTTTTCACTAACAAATATGTCCTTCTCATAAAATGGAATACTGTTAATGATCTGTGTGAGAGCTAGTTGATATGGGAAGGGACCCTGTCACCCCTAACCCTTTGGGTGGTGTCTTGCACCTAGGGGTAGAACCCAGGGCCTTGTACATGCCAGGCAAGCATTCATCTGCTGAGCTTTTATGCCCTCAACTCCATCTGATCTGTTTAGTGTTTTTTATTTTGATGTTTGGTAACTTTTAATTGGTGCAGTTTTTAGCTAATGGTTTTCCTAAATCCTCCCATTTCTCTTCTGTGGTCTCTTTTTCTTTTTCTTTTTTTCAGTACAAGAGATTGAACTCAGGACCCTGTACTTGCCAGACAAGCACTTATTCTACTGAGTTATCTCCCCGGCTCTGTGGTCTATTTTTCATTTTTTCCAAGATATTTCCCTCAGAATACTATCTCCAGAAAGCCTACCCTAGTTAAGTAGGGCACAAAGGCTATTTTTTCTGCCAGCAGTACTGATTTGTTTTGGGGATATGGGAGTATCAGTGCTCAGTCACTTTTCCTTCTTCAGTGGCATCTATCATTGAGCGCATCTTTACATTTTTACTTTGATGCAATTTTTCTGGTTTAACCTGCAATGCATCTTCTTTTCTTGTCACTCATCCATGTAGTTGCTAGGAGGAAAAAGTTGGGGAATATTTGCTCTTAAATATCTTTCTCCTATACAGGTCCATAAAGGGAAACCACTTTGGGCCGGTCAGATAGCTCAGCGCATTAAAGCACCTGCTTAGGCAGATGCAGGGACTGGGGTTCGATCCCTGGTGTGCCGGGGTGCACCGAGACAGTGATTGAGACTGGGCGTGGTGGCGCACAATTGTAATCCCAGTGCTTGGGAGGCTGAAAACAAGAGGATCACTACAAGCCCGATCTGTGTTGACCCTGTAGACTCTGTACTAAATACATTAAACAAGGGAGGGGGTACTGTGCAGACAGATCTATACTAGCAGTAAATTCAGCTACAGCAAGTGTTTCAGTTTTTGCCAGTGGAGTTTTGGTGGTACTGTTTTGTTTTTATCGTAATACTACCATTAACACCAGACTTGTTCATAGTAAGATGAGAATTTAAGATTCTTCCAATCAGCATGACCTCAGCTTTTCTCCTCAAAGCCTGAAATTACTTAAAAATCCTGTTGTTTTTTTAATAACTGAGTTAAGTCTTTTGAAGACTTAAATTAGTTCATATTTCACTCTGGGCTGTTACTGATTATTCTTCCCCTATATGTGGAACAGTAAGTCTAGTGGAAATAATTGGGATTAATCTAACAAAGACATTGGGAGACTGAAGAGGATCAAAAGTTTGCAACGAGCCTGTGCAGTTTTTTGAGATGCTGTGTCATAGAATTTTTAAAAGATGAGAATGTAGGTCAGTATTAGTAAAGCCCTTCCTGGTTTGCCCTGGTGTTTTATCCCAGGGCTTACAGCTGCGGGATATGCAGTGAATACTCACCATACAAATTTATTTTCATTACTTAGGCATGTACTTTATAGTAAGAGGATGTTTTGTTTTGTGACAGGGTCTCACTATGTAGTTCAGACTAGCCTTGAGCTAACAGTGTAGCCCGGCTGGCCTTAAACTCATGGCTATCCTTCTGCCTCAACCTCCTGAGTGCTGTAGGAGAATTTTAGACTAGCTTAAAGAATAGTCACTTGTCCTGAGAAATTTGCTGTCTTGTATGAGACCACCTGAAAGTCTTGTGGAGGAATTCAGGAGCTAAGTAGGTGTACGTGCCTTAGTAGGCAGTTGAAAAACATCAGGTGGTGAAAGCATGCAGGTTTTGTAGCATACTCTTAGCAAGCAGTTTCGGTATCTTTTCAGTTGTCAAGTTTGGTAGCAATGTAAACACTTAGGGATTCATATAATTGGATTTCATCATCAAAAAGAAGGTTGTTTCCTTAATCACTTTGAAGGTCATTCTGTTAGAGAAATGGAAGTATCTTAAACTCTTACTTCGTTTGGCTTTGTGCAGGTTCAGCGGAACAGCGTTGCCCGCTTTGGCTGCGATGTGAATACCTCCTGTGCGCTGTGCGGCTCGGGCAGTGTCAGCACAATGCCTCCTGAAATCCACTATGAAGCTCCTCTGTTGGAACGTCTTTCCCAGTTGGACTCTTGTATTCACCCTGTGCTAGCATTTCCAGATGGTAAGAAAGATAATATAAAATCTACTTAAAGAGATTTCAAAGAGTTCCAGGTGAAAGAAAATCAATCAAGGTCTTAATGCAACTCAGATACCATTTTTGGTCAGCAAAAGGGTACCATTTGGGGTAACAAAACCTCAGTTTTTCACCAGACCAGAAAATGCTACTAGAAAGATTATAACTTGCTAAGAGATTCCCTCCTGGTCTTCACAGAATGGTGGAGGGTGTTCAGAGAGGGGAAAGCTGAGGAAACTGGCCTGGGGTCAGCTGCCAGCAGTCACAAGTAAATGTTGTCTGTATGTGCTATGGTATAAAGTAGGCCAGAGCGGTTCTTGGAGCATGCCTTCGTGTTGGCTGTGTGTGTTCACAGGAGAGTGTTCCGGGATGTTAATGAGCATGGTTCTTCAGTGTTGCCATGTACCTTGCTTCTGAAGTTTACCTACCTAGCAAGTCTTCAGGTCTGCCTGTTCCTTTTTTGCAGTAATTGACAAAACACCGCATTGAGTTTTGTGATGGGTCTTGCCCCAGAATATAAAACCTTTTGAGGGGGGGGTGCATTTCCTAAAGTCCAGAGTTTCCAAAGGAGAGTCTCCTGAATATTAAGTGAAAATGTGTTTTGAGGGGCTTAGTGTTGGAATGTGTACTTTGTGTAAGGGAGCAGCTATGTTTGAGTCCCTGCACTACTAAAGGAAAAAGAAAAGGTCTGACTAAACAAATAAAAAATAAATGAAAGTGAGATACATTGCTTTGTCTTAAACTACTCTCTGTGGCAAGATTCTGTCCTTCTGTCTTAGAGTAAATTTGGGATTTTGGGAGGCAGGGTCTTGCTTTATTATAATGTAGACTGAGCTTGAACTTGCTTTGTAACTCAGGCTGGCTTTATTTTATTTTTGTATTTTTAGGGAAGGGTCTACAGGGTGTTCAGGGTCTCACTGCTAGATCAGACTCATAGTGATCTGCCTGTTTACAGCCTCCCAAGAGTTGGGATTACAAGCGCATGCCACCACATCCAGTCTCAGTTGCTGTCTCAGCGTGCCCCAGGTGCAGGACCAGCATGGCAGGCCCCGGGGATCAAACCCCCAGCCCCTGCACCTGCTTGCAGGCACTTTAATCCACTGAGCTGTTTGGCTGGCCCTCGGGCTGGTTTTAAACTCAAAATCGTGCTTCAGCTTCCTTAAGGCTAGGATTATTGCCAGGCATAGTAGTGCATACCTATAATCCCAGGCTGAGACAGGATTGCTGTGAGTTTGAGGCCAGCATGGGCTACATAGAAGAGACCCTGTCTTGGATGAATGAACGAACAAATGAAAAAAATTACATTTTAGATAAACTTGAACAAAATGCATTTTGAAACCACTTCTCTGGCCAGACTGCAGGAAGTCCGTGCTTTCATTATTTGGGATGGTTTTGTTGATTTTTTTTTTTTCCCCTATGGTGATCTGTTCCCATCCCGTAGTAAATAAAAATTTCCTCTCAAATTGGTTTCATTTTTATGTTAATGATATATAATATGGCTGTTCATGTAATTTCTACTTTTTAATCCCACTGAGGGTAAGGGATCCTGTTATATCCTTACTAATACCTCACAGGTAAAAGTACAGGTTTCTGAAAGGAGAGAATAGCTGAACTAGGACTCTGAGGAATGAGAATAATTATATGAGATGCACAGTTTACTTGGATAGTATGAGGATTGAATAAAATAGAACTGAGTGGTACAAACTTGTTCTCAGAAGGCCAGTGGTATTTTAGTTTTTGTGGAACCATTTATGATCAGTGTGAGATTCTGTCACAACTGCTTGACTTTGCCATTGCAGCAGGTAGGGGGTTGTCGAAACAAGGTCTCTCTAGTTCAGGTTGACCTTGCATACACTACAGACTGGGCTCAAGCTTGCCATGACCCTGCCACCCCAGCCTCCCATGTGCTGAGACTATGCTGCGAAAGCAGCTATAGATAGCAAATGAACATATAGCCACGGAAGTGTTACCGCAAAATTTCATATCTCCTAGAGAATCTCCCACCTACAAACACTGGGTGACTATAATTCCCTGTTCTGCATCTGTTTTTCAAAATGATTGAATTATTTCTTGAACCCCTAAGTCTTGTCACTACCAGTAGTTTGGCTTTTCCTACTAACACTACCTTTGACTATCAAATTACTAAGGAGTATCAGTATTACTAAGGAGTAACATGGCTGCTGCCGTGTGACATCAGAGCAAAATAATTTTTTAGAAAACTTGAAAAAATACTCAGACCCCTTCCCCATTCCTGGAGATTGAATCAAGGACCTTACACTAATCTATATCCCCAATCTTTGGGGGAGTGAAGTGTTTCATGTTTTGAGACAGCATCTCATTGTGTAGTTCAGGTCAGTTTGAAGTGACTGTAGCCCAGGCTGGCCTCAAACTTGCAGTAATCTGCCTCAGCCTCCCTAGTACTGGGCTTGTGGGCATGTACCACTACCAACCTTGCCTGTTTTGAGACCGAGTCTTGCTAAATTGCTCAGGCTGCTTGGGAGGCAGAGGCAAGAGAATCTCTGTGATTGCAAGTTTTAAGACCAGCCTGAACTCAAAGCAGGACAGGCAGGCATGGTGGTGTACCTGTAATTCCACCATTGAGGAGGCTGGAGTAGGAAGATTGCCTGTTTGCTTAGTGAGTTCAAGGCCTGTGTTAGAAAGCAGAACTGTCTCAAAAAACCTAAATGATGGATGGGTAAGATTAGATAGCCTGAGCTTGAATTGAATTTGTGTTCATCTTGCTTCAGTGCCCCAGAGTGCTAAGATTATGGGCACATACCACCATATCTGGCTCATTTTCCTTTGTGCTTCAGATTCCAGCATTTCCTTTTACCTTTTCAAGTGCGTTATAGTTGATCCAATTTCAGTTAATTCGTATAGCATTTTGCAGTTTATAAAGCACTTTTCTCATTTGTCTGACTTGCTTCTTTCAGAAATCTTCTAAGGCATTCCTTCATCTTCATAGATAAAAGAATTAGCTCAGGTGGTATCTTATCCAAAGCTAAATGGTGAATGAATTTGAAGGGCCCTAGAATTCAAACCAGGGTTGTTTGATACCTATCTTTCACTGTATTGCATATTACTTGCCAAAAAGGTTATTTAAGAGAAGTTAGGTTGGGCATGGTGGTACATGCCTGTAATCTCAGCAGTACGGAACTTCATGGCTTGACTGGACTACATAGTGAGGCCCTGCCTGAGAGAGAAACAGAGACAGAAATTATATTTCTACCCATTGTAGGACTTTAGGTAGAACCACCAGGAAGAGTAAATTTTTGGAATTACTTTCACAGTTGTTGAATTGTATGGTATCAAATTTGAAGACAAAAAAAACCCCTGAAACTTTTAATTGTGTGCATTAAAAAGTATTACCATGGATAGCCGCAGATGAGTCCTCCAGCTCTGGAGTCGGCGTGTCCAGGCCACCTCCCTGGTGGCTCTGTCTGATCACGTGGCGTCTCTGCTAGACGGTACCCATTTTTTGTGAACACCTTCTGTTCTGTTGACGGCATCAGACCTCTACGTCTGCCTCTACGTACCATGCCATCTCACTGCAAGCAGATGTAGGCAGAAATGAGGTGTACAGGAAAGAAAGGTAAAAGAGCAGCCCCTTTTCCTGGTCTTTATCATTTTTATTTTGGGCACATACACCACACTTAATCATAGCCCTGGGTTTTAGACAAGGCAATTGGCTGTTCTTCTTTGGAAACTGTGAGGCATATAAATAGATTCATCCCAAGAACAATCTAAGAATTATTATAGACCTAATTCATATTGTTGGTATTGGAACAATTTTGCTTTGACCCAAAGAACAGCCACATTGAGGGCACAGTGTCAACTGAGGGGTTCCCCATAGCCGCAGAGGCCCACGTCCAAAGCGTGCTGCTCACACTGTATGAGTAGCTTTCTGCTGCCCTTCCCTGCACACACCAAACAGCAGTGAGGCAGACACCGGTGTGCGCTCTGCTCGTGCACACGGATTTGACTGCTGAACCACAGTTTTGCAGCTTTTTCTCTAGGAGCTGTTCAGAGGTGGCATTGTTTTGTTTTGTTTGGGGGGCTTATTTGTTTGTTTGTTGTATTTTAGGACAGGGTCTGTAGGGTCTCACTACACAAATCGGGACTTGTAGTAATCCTGTTTTCAGCCTCCCACGCACTGGGATTACAGGCACGGGTCACCACACCCAGTCTCAGTCAACATCTCAGTGTGCCCCAGGGGTGGTCTAGTGGCTGGGCCTAAGCTCTACTGAGCTGTCTGGCCAGCCCATGTGTGTGTGTGTGTGTGTGTGTGTGTGTGTGTGTGTGTAGCAGTGTTTTTGGTCTCTTACCAAGGTTAAGTATGAATCTTTGACTCGTTTCTTTAATTCCTACAAGTCATTACAGTCATACGAGATCCAGATATAAAGAAGTGATTTTGCTGAGTTTCTGACCTCTTCATGTTGGTTGACCTTTCTCCACATTTAGAACCATTTAAATGCAATATTTAGTTCTGTGTGCAATTCTTTTGCTGTCAGTTTTTTTGAGCCAAGGTCTCACTGTATAGTTGAGGCTGATCTTAAATTCAGTGCTTAGCCCTGGCTGGCCTCAGGTTGGGGTGACCCCTGCCTCAGCCTCCTGGTTACAGGATCTGTCTCATACTTCTGTCACAATGTAGCCACTCCCTTGTGCATGCTGTTTCACGCCTAGCCGAGCTGTCTCTGGCTAAAGAAGGTAAGGTTAGGATGTAGTGACCTATCAGTACTCTAGGGTGGGGGCATTAACGGTTTTATCACTTGACTTCCTAGTCACTTTAGTTAATCCTTAACTTGAAAATGTAGAGGATGAAAAAGAATGTTCACTGTAAATTTGTTTTATTAAAAAAAAAAAAAAAAAGCATTTAATAGCACCACCTGCTGGCCAAAAAAATGTTTCTAGAGACCTTGCCAAATTGTTTCTGAGTCCAGGAGCAGGAGGAGAGGAGGAAGTGAGCATGGCAGACACCGAGGAAAGGG